TAAAAGTTAACAGCAAGCAAAACCACAAGGCATTTATTTACAGCTGCCTACCTGTCTCCACAGGACCAAACTGAAGGCAACTGATACAGAGGTTGCAAAACTTGAGTACCTAGGGAGGCCCACCAGGCCATCAGCAGCCTCTGGAGGCCCCTGGACCAGGCAGGGCTGTAGTCCGCCCCACTGGCTCACAGGGTGGTCACATTGCATGTCTGAGGCTCGGGGGCAGGAGGCGGGACTGAAGTGGGTGAACATGCCCAGAGGGCACAGATGGTACTGCACACTAGCCCTGAGCCCCCAGGTGCCTTTGCCCCCTGAGTTTTTCATGTCCCAGAGCAGCTACGGGCCTACGATCCGCCCTGAGTGACACCTCAGCCTCCTGGCCTCCTTAAGACTATAGTCGCTGGTGGCCGCAAGTTGGTGGTACATCTCCTGACAGATGGAGTAGCTATATTCCTGTAGGCCACTGTTGCCATCTGTGGGCCCGTTCTGGAAGAAGCTGCTGGTGGGCAGAGGCCACCAGGCCGTGGAGCATCACCATCCTGGGGTGAGGCCTGCCACCACACCTGATCCTGTCCTAGAGGGGTGACCTGGCCCACCTATACACAGATGTTTTTCAATAACTAGAAGTATAGTACTGTAAATGTATTTTGTATTCCTTATGATATTATTACCATTTTCTTTTCTCTAGCTTACCTTCTGTAAGGATACAATATATAATACACATAAAATCTGTGTTAATTGGTAGGGTTATTGTTAAGGCATTATAATCAAAAGTAGGCTATTAGCAGTTAACTTCTTAGGGAGTCAAAAGTTATATGTGGATTGTTTTTAGTGTTTATTTATTTGGGTGACAGAGCATGAGCAGAGGAAGGGCAGACAGAGAAAGAGAATCCCAAGCTGGCTCCACACTGTCAGCGTGGAGCCCAGTGTGGAGCTCAAACCTGCGAACCGTGAGATCATGACCTGAGCTGAAATTGAGTCAGACGCTTAACAGACTGAGTTACATTGGCACCCCTACGTGGATTTTTAAAAAATAGTTGTTTTTGAGAGAGAGAGAGAGAGCATGCACGTTCAGGGGAGGGACAGAGGCAGGTGGGCAGGGTGGACAGAGGATCTGAAGCAGGCTCCATGCTGGTCACAGACAGCCTCATGCGGGGCTTAAACCCACTAACCGTGAGCTCATGACCTGAGCCACAGTTGGACGCTCAACCTACTGAGCCACCCAGGCGCCCCCCATATGTGGATTTTTGACTGCGTGGGGAATAAGCAATCCTAACCTTTGCCTTGTTCAAGGGTCATCTGTATAGTGCTCTTGATTGCTTACCAACATAGTGAGATTTAATTAAACAGTACTGCTAAGACCTGAGCTCTTATTATTCCAAATCATAGCACATGAAAGATTCTGTCACTGCTGTTGTTGTTTTCATTTTTTTCACTTTGTTTTATTGTGTTTTTGTTGTGTTCTGTTTAGTTTTATTGGCCCAGACAGTGATGTTAAATAGGGCTCAATACTGCCCACCTTGACTCAGCTCTTAAACTGGTAATCAGGTTTGGATTCTCAACAGTAGCCACACAGCTTACTCATTCCTGTAGGCATGTTTTACTTTTCCATTATTATATACTGATTCAACACATTAATCCATAACTTCACCTCTTTTTTTGTTGAGACACTATCAAAGCATAGTGAAAGGGAGCTTACCAGACAACAAAATGTTCTCATCAGAAATTGTAGATGATAGACCGCTAAAGAAAATGAGAATCCTTGTTAAAACATTAAAGACTACTGTCCTTAGATTTGTCCAATAATTAGAATTATAGTAAAGAAATAATACTTTAGAATTTTTACTTTCTCAGAATTTTATTGCTTATCAGTTGTATATAGAAAATGATTTATTTGCTTTAAGATTTATGTATATATTTTCCTTTCAGAGTAAAAATAATCTTCAAGACTAGGTATTTTCAATGGTAACATGAAAGCTAGGGGTTTGGAATGTGGAGGGAGCGATTCAGTTTTACTGAAAACAGAAGTGCCCTATGACATAATTTACCACAGAGTAGCTCTTTTCCACACATAATAATACTCATTTGGGAGATTTCTCTATTGCCACTTTTATTTGTTTTTAATTTTTTATTCTTTTTAAGTAGGCTCTATACCCAACGTGGGGCTTGAACTCTTGACCTGAAGTTCAAGAGTCACATGCTCGGCTGACTGAGCCAGCCAGGTGTCCCTAGGAATTGTTTTAAACATACAGTGAACTGCATCAATTCCATGAGGAATGCCACTAAAAGTGTTAGATTAGGAATCAATAAGCATTAGTAAACCTACTCATTTTCTTCAAATGTCTAGGAAGTGCCCCATTAGATTTTGTGTATTCAATAAGAAATTTGAACATTTAGAAAAGTTTTACATGAAAACATTTTTTAGCATAAAAGTTTTTAAATTCATAAATTAAACTTTTCATTTTGGCCATGACAGCAGTTCTTTTTAGGATGCATTCTGCTCTTGAAAGTTAGAAACAAATGCCTCATCTTCTAATGTAGAGATAAAAATGATAATCCCACATTCCTACTTTTTCTTAAGTAACTCAAGTCATAAATTAAACTTTTCAATAAAATTCGGAAAAATAACAGGCTGAATAATTGTATAGTGATTTTACATTTTGGAATTTTTAATCCACCTCATTGGATCCCAGGACTCACAAACTTGTATTTTTTTTTTTTTAAGTTTATTCATTTTTGAGACAGAGAGAGACAGAGCATGAATGGGGGAAGGTCAGAGAGAGAGGGAGACACAGAATCTGAAACAGGCTCCAGGCTCTGAGCCGTCAGCACAGAGCCCGACGTGGGGCTCGAACTCACAGACCGTGAGATCATGACCTGAGCCGAAGTCGGCCGCCCAACCGACTGAGCCACCCAGGCGCCCCACAAACTTGTATTATTGATACCAAAGTTATAGAACATTCTTGAGTGTTTGCTTCTGTGATGTGGTTCCATGTATATGATGTAAGTCCTGTCTATTTCATTTGTATTCACTTTTGTTTTTTTTGTTTTTTTATTTTTTTTAATTTTTTTTTTCAACGTTTATTTATTTTTGGGACAGAGAGAGACAGAGCATGAACGGGGGAGGGGCAGAGAGAGAGGGAGACACAGAATCGGAAACAGGCTCCAGGCTCTGAGCCATCAGCCCAGAGCCCGACGCGGGGCTCGAACTCCCGGACCGCGAGATCGTGACCTGGCTGAAGTCGGACGCTTAACCGACTGCGCCACCCAGGCGCCCCTCACTTTTGTTTTTTAAAGTTTGGCTACTTTCAGCTTTATAACAGTTTCTTTTTGTGTTTTTCACTCTTGTGAAGCAGTATGTTTTTTCCTGGTTTTCTTTTAAAAGAGGTCATTTTCCACTGATAATACAAATCTAACCAAATGGCCAAACGGAAATAGTTAGAAGGGTCCTAAGGAAGCAGAAAAGAGGTGTAATGGCTACTCCAACTTACTGTACTCATGTAATTTTGTGTATGTTTTTTCATGACATTTCCCCGCTCTTTTAGGGTTTCTTAAATCTCTTTTATTCAGATGCAACTGGAGTTCAAATACTAAAATGAGGAAGCATCCACAGTGGGGAAAGGGAGGATTGTCACGAAAGAAAATAAAAATAGAAGGTGTTTCTGATTGTTAATGGGATACTGGTCCCTCTGTTTACCAGCAGCGCTTGCCAGTAAAGGCTGAGTCTTCCCTAAGGCCCTGCTGGTATGGGACTGTGCTGGGGGATGGAAGCAGATTGTGGAAACTTTGTTACTGCCTTATAACAGCTTCCTGTTTCTTCCTCCAGTTAAAAAAAAAAAGTAAAAAGAAAAATTATGTACATAGAAACATGAAAGGTAGCCTTGAGAGGAAGTTTATAAGCAGTGTATGATCTGAGTGGTATGTGGAAATGCAAGTATCTTAATATTGGATTTCACTAAATTTCACATTCCATGTAGACGCCATTCACTTTTTTTACCCTCTATGCTCAGCACAGGGCCCGGCACTGTCGGTCCTCAGGAGCTGCCATGATTTATTGGGTATCATTTTCATATGCTAGTTAATACCCTGTAGTTATCACAACACAGGGAGACTGAGTCATTGCTTTACCCCCTCATCTGCTCATACAGTGAATTTTCACATTTCAAAGTCAGAGGTCTGTGAGATTGCAGGGAAGACTGCAAGTGCAGGAAGGAATCCATGAGTTAGAGAGATCTATAGTAAAAAGATGAGTGGTGTGTTTTCCTCTGTCCCTTTCATAGCTAGAAACCTTTTTTTCATAGAATTTGTTTTACATCCTTCTAATTAGGAAAAGAATGTTACATCTTTTATAAAGTTTCCCAGACCTATCACAAACTGTTTAATTAAGATGGCTTTGTTTAGAGTCAGCAAGTCTACCTGAGTTTTAGTGAATAAGAATTTCCAGAGGTTGAGCTAAGGCATCTGCATGTTTAGCAGTCCTTCTAGGTATTTCTGATAGGTACAGAGTAGGAGAAGGGTAAGTTAGATAAAAGGACAAGTTGAATAGGGAACTGGATGTTTGCGAATGATGACACATGACGAAGGAAAAACATTTCTGTGTATTTAATGCTTGATAGAACTTTCCATTTGCATTTATACATTTCTCACATGGAGAAAAGTATATAAATGTGAGACTGTGGTCAGTGGTTAGTGATAATTTGAACCAAAACATAACATTAGAAAAAAATATAGGGGCTGCTGGGTGGCTCAGTCAGTTGAGCCTCTGACTTCAGCTTAGGTCATAATCTTGAGGTTCGTGCCCTTAAGCCCTGTGTCAGGCTCTGTGCTGACAGCTCAGAGCCTGGAGACTGTTTCAGATTCTGTGTCTTCCTCTCTCTCTCTGCCCCTCGTCTACTTGTGCACTTGCTCGCGCTCTCTCTCTCAAAAATAAACATTAAAAAAATTTTTAAGAAAAATATATATTCTGAAGTGTATATACTCTAAAAGCATATTTGATAGAGTAAGCTCTATATAAACTAGGATATATGTGAATAAGCAAATATGATCTTTTCCTAAAGAGTAATATCCACCTGAATATGTTGTATTAAACACTTTTTAACCCATACATCTGAAAAATTCGGCCTCATTGAAAAAAATGAGTTGAATGGATTTATAAAGGATAAAACTGATATATAAATACAATTGTTCTTTTATGCTTATCTTATAGATAGAAGAAAACATATAAATTGAAAACACACTTTTATTGCAACACCGAGCAAGAAATTTCAAGTTTCACCCGGTGTATGTCTGTGTCCTTGGGTCTGTCAAGTTGAAGGTGTGAAAACATTGAATGAGTTAAATGCTGCCATGGGCAGGAAATTTTTATTATCATGATAGCTGTGGGGCCGGGGTTAGGGAGTAATTTCTCTCTTAAAATCCGTCTGTAAGTATGGTAATTTTCCCGAAATATCATTACTGTGTATTTGGAAGTTAATAAAAATGTTAGCGGTAGTCACAGAAGCAATAACTCAAACACTTTTCACTTTTGCAGGATTGTTCAGTGATTGGTTCCACCATTAAACTTGAATTTAATTTTTCTTTTATGCTGTGGATATGCTGAGTTGCTTTTGCTTTGAAGCATTTATCTTTGTCCTAAAACACATTGGTATCCCTTACCTAATACTGGTGTATCTTTGGATTTACTGAGGGATGAATGAGCTTGAAAATATATTTAAGGGTAGACATTTTTTATACATGCATAAAAACAGACACAATAGCTGTGGAAATTTACTTAATAATTGCATATAAATGTGTTAAGAATTGTAGTTCTCCTGATGTGGTAATAAGTACAGGGAAGTGTGCTATCATTAACTCTATTCTCTTTTTTTTCCTTTTTCCTTTTTCTCTCTCTCATCCCTTTTCTTTTTTTTTTTTTAATATTTATTTATTTTTAAGAGAGAGACAGAGAGAGAAAGAAACACAGACTCTGAAGCAGGCTCCAGGTTCCCAGCTGTCAGCACAGAGCCTGACATGGGGCTTGAGCTCATGAACTGTGAGATCATGACCGGAGCTGAAGTCAGAGGCTTAACCAACTGAGCCACACAGATGCCCCTCTCCCATCACTTCTCTGTCCTTATCCATTACAGATCATAAGCCCAATAGAGAATATACCAATCATTTGCAATGGCTTTGTTTCTTACGACCTGGTAGATAACTAATCTTAGAGAAAAGCCAAAAGAGGAAGAGGCATCTATTCAACCAACTTGCCTGGGACTGAGTCTTCTTGGAAAATTGGACTTTGCTTTCTAAAACAGGGATAGTGCAGGAAAATCTAAGTCTTTTTGGTCAATGTCCTATACACTTCTGCGGGGGGGGTGGGGGGTGGGTGTGGAGAAATGACATTTTTACTTAAAAAGCATCTTGCTGGAAAGCAAAACTTTGTTTCATTGAACACTTAAGTGGCTCTGTTTGTTTCTAATCATCCTGCGGAACAAAGCCAGCAAGATATTAAAGAAAGAGGAGGTCTACATAAGGTCAATTCAACAAATTCATCAGATCATATCTGGATACTGGGAAGTCCAAAGATCAAAGTATCAGCAGGAGTAGATCCTAGTGAAGACTCTAATCCTGGCTTGCACATGATGGCCTTCTTGCTGTGTTCTCACAAAGCAACTGAGAAAGGGGGGGGGGGAAGAGGGGGGCGAGGGAGAAAGATGGGTGGTATGTCTTTCTCTTTTATAAGGATACCAGTTCTGTGGGATCAGGGCTTCACCCTTATGATCTCATGTAACTTTAATCACCTCCTTAAAAGCCCTGTTTCCAATACACTCAAATGGGGGTGTAGGGCCCTAACATATAAATTTGGGGCAGACACAATTCATTCCATAACAGGCACTGTCTTCCTTGATGATTACATTTCAAAGAGACGGCTCCCAAGTCCTTGAGAAAGACATTCCTGAGTTGTAAATCTGGTGAGAGACTGGGGGAAGATTTATATCCCAAAGAGGTAGAGAAGGAATTTACAACTATGAGTTTTCCAGAGTAAATGGTCTGAGAAAAGGAAGGTCAGGGACTAAAGTTGGGGAGAAACTTGTCTAAAGTTTAGTCAAATGGAGGAGAACTTTAAGGCTGTCGTGGCCAACCTGTGGGTCATCGGTGCTTCATGTACTCTGAAAAAGAAATTGCCTTGTGTTGTCCTTTTTCATGGTAAAGCCCGCAAAGAATATCCATGCATTGGCCAAGCCTTATCCTGAGGGGCCTGGGAAGTGGTGTGTAATGCAGTAAATGGTAACATTTCAATTAATACTTTCAGATTTTTTGGCTGCTTGTTAGCTACAGGCGATAGAAATGGGACCTATGTTTGATAAAAACCTCTTTGTGTCCCTTAGGATTTCAGTGTCCTTAGTCCAATTATCTGTCTATCTATCTTTATAATGATACCCTAGGAATAAGTACCCAGGTTGAAAAGCAAAGGTCAGGCCTCTATTTATGTTTGACTATAAAGGGCAAGACCAGGTTGTGTTTTGAGAGAAAAGGTGTCAAGGGAATATAAAGAGAGGATGAACGTGGGAAAGGGGGAAAACAAAAACAAAAACAGAAAGAAGGAATGTTTTCTTTTGGTTGGGCATGGTCAACTGTAAGTGCTGCTGCTGGCAAATTGCCAGAAGCCCCCTCTCCCTTCCTCTCCCCCCCACCCCCGGCCCCAGCTGCGTTGCAGGTCAGCTGCTCACAAAGGGGCTTTTCAGTTTGCTTACCATTTGATGAACTTTTAGTCAACTGGTTGAAGAACAAGGATGGGACTGAGATGAGGGACAAGTGCCTCTGGGTGCAAAATTTAAAAGAACACACAAAAAGTCAGGGCTAATTCAGAGTGGGATTGATATTACTGATTTTTCTTTTGACTTAGGGTCCCACCTGGCTCGCTAAGGCGCTGTGACTGATCCTGTCTTGGTTGAAAATCTTTATATTTTATTTCCTGTGGATATTCACATTCTTTTGGGTTTTTAAAATGTCACATTAAACATTATTTATATTGATTGCCAAACTTTTTGGCGTACCCTTAAATTTTGTAGCTGAGATACGTGCCTCACTGTGTCAGCCTATCCTTACTCTGCTGGAGGCAACAGAAATGGTACTTCCTTCTAGATTTAGAATTTATTTTCTGTCTCTCTAGTTGGGTTGTGTAGGTCTAGAAAGTATTGTACTAACAGAGATGAACATTGGTGGGGTTAAAAAGAACATTGTTCATTTCCCCCCAGGTCACTCACTAACACTTTGGAAGGAAAGATTTCTGCCAAGAGGGAGGTTTGATGAAGAGAAACATCTCTGAGAGTATACAGGTAATTCAAAGCACACAATTTAATGTCAGCAACAGAGAATGTTAAATGGATAAACTGTTGATTAAGAGATGGAATATGTGATTCTAATGCTATAATTTCGTCATTATGTTCATAAGTATGTGAAACCTATCTAACCATCTGTAGTGTTCTAAAGAGGGGATTTATTCAGTCTACCTGTTGACATTGTGAAAAGAAAATGAATGTACCTTAGCATGGTCCAAAATGTAAGTTCACGTTGCTGTAGGTTTAGGTGGTTAAATCTCTCACTGTTGATCAAGTTGGGTACCTGGCAACAAATGGACAAAATATATATCTGTTATTTATTTAAGGGATCCTTTCTGTTTTTATTAAGTACGTAGTCATGGTATATGTGGTTAAAATGCACAGAATTCAGATGTTAAAAGCAAAACAATAAGTGAACAAGAGAAGAGAAATATAGCATTTCTGTTGGCTTAGGAGGGACTTTACAAAACTATAACAGTTCAAATAACTCTTTTGCAGATTACATGGACTACAACTATAGTAGCATGAATTAATATGTTGTATCAAGTTGGCAAACCTTTTGTAAAGGGCCAGATAGTACATATTTTAAACTTTTCATGCTACGTGGTCTCTGTTGCATCTATTCAGTCCTGCCGTAGTGGTAGGAAAGCAGCTATAAGCAGCAGTAAATAAAAGGACATGTTCCAATAAAACTTTATTTACAAAATTAGCCAGTGGGCCGGGTTTGGTCTACAGACCAGAGTTTGCCTACCCTGGTGTCAGAAGATTCTACATGCCTTATTGAAAACTATAAACTGGGTTGTCTGTAACAGTGAGGCATAAAGGATTCATGTCATTTATTGAGCTGAATATCTAAGCCGTTATCTAGATACAAATGAACCTTCATCACTAATGACTTTGAAACAGTTCATGTGTCTATACCTAATCTTATCTCTTAGCATTCTGTATCTGACAAGATTATTTGATGTCAGATGTTATTACTAGGTAAATATGCTATCTATGTTTTGCCATATTTTGCCCTCTTATAAACTCTTAAAATTTCCTGAATATTTGATACTTTACCGAAGGCCATGAAGCTTACGGACATTTCTACCCGAGTAAAGTTTGTTTTACTGGCAGTAATAAATGCTTCTTTTTTTTATTTAATAAAAATTTTTAATGTTTATTTTTGAGAGAGAGAAAGAGAGAGACAGAGGTCGAGAGGAGAAGGGCCAGAGAGAGAGGGAGACACAGAATCTGAAGCAGGTTCCAGGCTCCGAGCTGTCAGCACAGAGCCCGATATGGGGCTCAAACTCATAAACCGTAAGATCATGACCTCAGCCGAAGTCAGACCCTTAACCTACTGAGCCACCCAGGTGCCCCAGTAATAAATGTCTCTAATGAATCTCAGTAACTCAGCTAAAACCACAGAATTAAGGTGGCCTAATGTGGAAAGCTGGCTAACTAGATATTTGGTTTTCTTTTGTAGGAGGACATCTTCTCAATTTAAGAAAATTTATTATAGGTGTAGGGACAGTGGTTAAATCGTGCTAAATGACACTTTTTAAAATTGGGCTGCATGTTTGGAAGAGCTGTTGTGACAGAGATAGCACAGACTTTCCATTAGTGTCCTGGTTTCTTTTTTCCCTGGGTTCTATTTTTAGAAGGTGAATGGACATCCATAATTAGATATAGTCCTGGAGATACATGTGGTTGAAACCACATGAGTACATATGAACACTAAAATCCCGGGTACTTCCAGTGAGTGTGTGCAATGTTTCATGCATAGCTAGTTTCATGAAATTCGGAAGTTTGTACTCTACTTACATCTTTCCTTACTTAGTTTTAATTTATTTAAGTTATTAGGCTAGAGGTTAAAATGTCTAGGACCAAAGTATCAGGTCACTTGGATTTCCTAGAAACCATCTTTAATCTACAATTGAATGGGAGTATAGGTGTTTGGCAGGTGACATGTTAACGCTAATACACTACATTGGAGTAGATGGTTGTATATTTTCGTTTCTTGGTTATTCTTTTTGGTCAGATGGACAAACTTTTATCTCCACACCTCTCTCATGGCCAGGACTCATGTGAGACACCTGAGACACACAGGTCAAGGAGACTTGGGCTTCCTAAGATTCCCAAACTAAGTGCCTCCTTGGATTTTGTGTCCTAGAGTCTCTCCCACTCACCATATTCTCAGCACCCCCTTTATCTGTTGATTTCTTATCTGTCAGTGTATGGAGACAATGACTGGCAGATAATGTCTGCAAGGCAGTTTTAGCTCCAGAGAACAAACATGTGGCATTAACACCATATGGTATTGATTATATTTTAGTCAGAATGTTTTGTGTTTAAAATATTCAAATTGTGAGAATTAAGTAGACATAAATATGATATATAGTTCAGATAACATTCTCCTGGTTATGTGACATAGATTACCATATAACCAATGGCTTCCCCAGAAAGATCTCACCATCCGAGGAATCTCCTGATTCTTCACATTTAATTGCAGAGCGTTAGCCAGACTTTCTATGATGTTCTCTATTCCCTGTTTTATTCAAATGCCTCCTCAACTTCATATTCTTATTTCCTTCTGTGACTTTTATTCTTCTTCCTATTTACATACTGTATATACTGAAGAGATAGGGCAGAATGAAAGAAACATTTATTGAGTCTTCTGGGTGAGTCCCTCATTAGATATTGTCTATCTGATAATTTTATATATAATTATTGTATTTCTAAGATGCCATGATTTATATTTTTTTCTAAGAAAAGAATTCTTAAGAGTCCTAGTGTTCATGACTCACAATAATAAAGGCTTTATTTCTCCCTCTCGCTCATATTTCAATAACAAAGGTATTTTTTATAGTTATATATGTATAGGTATAAAACCTAAATATCCCTGAGTACTTCTGGCATTGATTTCATCTAGCTTTAGCTCAAGAATAATGTGACTCTCTCTTTTCACCCTTAGGACTTAAACACAGGTTTCTTGCTTATTGATACAGTCATATATATGGATATAGATAGGTAGATAGGTGGTTCATTGTTAGTATAAATAAAGTGCAAACCCTCAAGTACAGCATGTGTGTTGCAGCCACAGTTATTTATTTTGGCTGGAAATGATTGATCTGAACTGAATCAAAGCATAAGGCAAATCTTGTTCCCTCATCACCCAGTAGGTCACATTACGATCAGTTTACCTTATACAAATTTATCCCGTAACATAACTGGTGAATGTTTTCCAAGGCGTATGTCAGAACAACACAATTCTGAGCATGTATGTGTTCCCTTCCCATTGAAGGCCAGAGGCCAAGGACATAGTAAATAGTAAAACAGACTCAAACTCAACCCTGTTTGACTCCAGATATCAGTCTTAAATCCAAGTATACCATTCATGAGTTTCACCAAATTTATTTCTTTAAAAAAATTAGTAAAACACACACCACGTAAAATTTGGTATCTTAGCCATTGTTAAGTATACAGCTCAGTGGCATTAAGTATATTAACATTGCTGTGCTACCATCGTCACCATCCAGCCATGAAAGTCTTTTCAACTTATTAAACTGAAACTCTACCCATTACACAATGACTCCTCATCTTCCCTCCCTTCAGCCCCTGTCAGCTACCACTGATTTTGACTACTCTAGATACATCATATAAATGGACTCGTACAGTATTTATCTTCTTGCAACTGGTATATTTCAACTTGAACTGTCTTCATAGTTCATCCTTGTTGTACCATGTATCAGGATTTCCTTCTTTTTTGACATTTAATATTCCACTGTATGTATACACCACATCTTGTTTGTCCATGTTTCCATCAGTGAACACTTGGGTTGCTTTCGGGTGTTCACCATATTTATTTATTTATTCCATGGTTGTATAAGTTGTTTTCTGTTAGAACCACAATAGGTTCTTTGCTGCACATGCTTTTAAATTAACATTCTAAATAACATACACTTAATCCCAGCAGAGAAAAAAATGATGAGTTAATCCTAGGACTGGTGGAGGGGTTTTGAGAGTCGATTGAAATACCCCAGAAAAAGAAAATAAAGACTATGGATTCCATTGTTCTGTGTGAAGGAAACACATGGTTCCATTTGACCACAAAAAACAAAACAAAACAAAACAAAAAACAAACAAAAAAAAAACTTATGCCTCCCTGGAGCAGAGTTTCAAGGACATTTGGGGATTTGGGTCATGAAATACGTTGTAAGTTTTTACTTTTTTTTTTTTTTTTTTTAAACCCTCTGGTAAACCAGTATAGGTAAACACATTATATAGGCAGCCTTAAAGATTGCTCAGTGGGGGAGAATCAAGTAAATGCCAGAACATTTTAAATCAAAACATATGCAACCAATATTTTCTGATAATAATTTTTATTTGAAGTTGTTGAAGTTACTGAAGTCATTTTATTCTTAAATGAAATTACTTTTTTATTTCCAAAATTGTGTGTATAACACACATGTTGACGGTATGTCTTCTTAGCTTAGAATTTTGAGTTCTGGGTTTATACCATAGGCTCAGTTTAAAAGCTCAGAATCCAGATTATTGTAGTTGCATACCCAAAGTGAGTAGAGGGCTGATAAAAAATGATTATTAGTAAATGCCCTTAAATCTGCATAATAATGACATTTTAAAATTGACATTTTAAAAAATAGTTTTTGGTTGAAGAAGATAATTCTAGAATGTCAGTGTTAAATTTTGTAACATCTTGCTTTATTAATTCATATTACTCTATAAAAGGTGCTAATACATTTACTACTCTTTTCATGAGTTTATGTAATATTCAGAATTAACTTATGTAATATTCAGAAATTATTTTACTGGGGCTCCTGGGTGGCTCTGTCAGTTAAGCATCCGACTTCTGCTCAGGTCATGATCGAGCAGTTTGTCAGGTCCAGCCCCGCATCAGGCTCTCTGCTGAAAGCTCAGAGCCTGGAGCCTGCTTCCGTTTTCTTTGTCTCCCTCTCTCTCTATCCCTCCGCCACTCACACTCTGTCTTCCTCTCTCTCAAAAATAAATAAACATTAAAAAATTAAAAAAAAAAGAAACAGTTTTATTTATGAGCATTTTATATTTTAGGCTAATAAAGTGGTCATGAAAACAAAGAAGCCAAATAATTATAATTTTATTTTTTCATTGGAAATATTCAGTGAGGAATCACTGTTTTGTTCCTTATTCTGGTTTTATAATACGTGAATACAATACTTTGATCTACACACCATGAAATTTGTGAATTATATGAACACTGATTATTTTACATTTATATTTTACTTATTTTCTGTGCATTTTCAATTGTTTATCTCTTAGACATTTTTTGAAGATTTCTTTCTTAAATGTGTTAAAACTAAGCACGCCATTTCCTAATTAATCCCATGGTACCAGATTGTATTATTTCTTTACTTTTTAACATCACACTTTTAAATCAAACTTAGAAACGCTTTTCTTCTAATATCATTTTAAGATTGTTTTTAACTTAGTTTGCTACCAAATTACCAAAGTAACCAGTAAGTTCAGTTGAAATAGTTCATTTCCTTGAGTGGAAGATATCATGGACAAGTATTCTTTACTGTCATAAAGAGTCAGATGTAAAATGTAAATGTAAAATGATCAATTGATTGATTAAACATTTTATTTTTTTAATTATTATTTTATTATTTCCTTTTAATTTTATTATTATTTTATTTTCTAGGCACAGAGTAGGTAAGGAATTTTTATGTACAGTTTCTGAAGTATGTAAGTGTCTATTGTGTTTTTGGAATATGCCACTGATTCCCAAGGTTCTATTAATATAATAGAGGAGATGAGTCAGGTGAACCGAAAACCACTCAAACAAAACAAAGCAATGATAGTAACTACAGGAGTGAAAAGTACTTAGGATTTGGTACACGTTGCATCCTCAAAGGCTCTAGGTACATAAACTCTGAGACTATAGATATATCCTGAGTTTAGTCATCATGATTTATTAGTCATAATAAATCATCTGTTCTAAGGATGTGTACCCTAAGTAGGTCAATAGCTGAGAGCATCTGTGATTTCCATAGATCTGTAAGCCAGATTCCTTTGTCCCATCTCAGTTCAGTTAAACAGCCACAGATTCTGAAATTTAAAAAAAAAAAAAAAAAAAAAAATTCCTGACGGCCATGGTCCTTCATTTGTTCCTCTAGCGTTTTTTGAACAGCTCTGGTATCCGTTGCTCTTCATACTCTTATGTGGGCCCTGCAGAGGTGTCAGGACAGCTAAAACTGAGTATCGCTATGAAAATTCAGAAAAATTGATGAAATGTGAGGGAATTGACCGTGATAATTTCCCACATCTTAACTTGAATTATATACTAATGGTAGTTTTGGGATAATGCAGAGCAAGTAGTAATAAGGGCTTTTCTTGCATGTGGAGAAGGAGAGCTGGCTTATTGGACTGGGTTTGAGAATTAAGTTAAGGATGCTCATGTAAAAGACAAGAGGTGACACAAGGTATACTTCCCTGGAAAAGTAATCATTTATATATGCTTGCTTCTGGAGGTAATTGGAAGCCAGATCCCTTGGAAGGAATTAAAGGAAAAGAGAGTTATGTGCATAAATTTACAGAAGTCAGAAATATTAACTGGGGATGTTCATGTTTAATCCATGGATGAGATAGAGGTAGTTCAAAAAATAAATTATGCTGGAAAAAAGAATTCACTCATAGTTTCTGTGTCGCAAGTTGGCATAAGTTTCTCTCAGGCCACTAAATTTATTGTTGTGCTAAAATTAGAAGTAATTAAATTATCATCTTGTTTTGGTTGGTGCCCCCGCCCCCCCCGCCCCCACCGCCCCAGGAGAAAATCTTTACCACCAAATAGACCTGTGGTATTTGGTAAAGATAATTTTATCGTTCAGTTTGTTTGATTCGTATTAAATTCCCATCCCAAGATCTGCCTTCTTCTTACAAGGAAACAGTACTATGGACTGTGTATTTAGGTAGACATTTAAAACCTCTGTCAGCTGCCTTAGAAGAAAAACTAGCCTGTAAGATTTGAACACGTTATTGATACAGAAGCTGAGGAAGATGTTTCCATTTATTTCATACAGTATCAGGCTGTTCTGTGTTTCTGATTTCTGTTTCCTTCTTTTGCTCTGCTTTTCACCCTCTCTGCATAGTTTAAAATTTTTTTAATGTTTATTTATTATTTTCAACGTTTATTTATTTTTGGGACAGAGAGAGACATAGCATGAACGGGGGAGGGGCAGAGAGAGAGGGAGACACAGAATCGGAAACAGGCTCCAGGATCTGAGCCATCAGCCCAGAGCCTGACGCGGGGCTCGAACTCACGGACCGCGAGATCGTGACCTGGCTGAAGCCGGACGCTTAACCGACTGCGCCACCCAGGCGCCCCGAATGTTTATTTACTCTTGAGAGAGAGACACAGAGAGAGAGAGAAAAAGAGAGAGCATGAGTGGGGGAGGGGCAGAAAGGGAGGGAGACACAGATTCTGAAGTAGGCTCCAGGCTCTGAGCTGTCAGCACTGACCCTGACATGGGGCTCAAACCTACAAACCCTCAAGATCCTGACCTGAGCAGAAGTTGGACGCTTAACCTCCTGAGCCACCCAGGCGCTCCTCTGTATAGTTAAACAAACTTCAAACCTGGTTAAAAAAGAAAAAAAAAAGGAAAAACAAATTTAGCTCCACTGAATTTTTTTTCCAAGTTCACAAGAATTACATTTACCTACAATAATGCTTCATTCTGAATTGACAGATTACATCTGTCTTTCAATATATGCAGCAACACCCACTTTTACTGAAAGTTGGATGATAGGTTCATAGCATTGCATTCAGCATCATTCGAATCCAAATGACTATACAGGGGTTGTCCACTGGCTCTGCCCACAGGATCAGGCATTCTAGTTGGTGTGACAAAACATGAGTATAGTAAACCATCCATATGCATTTCATGTTGGCTTTCTAATCTACAAAATAATTGACTCAGCAACAGAACAGAATAGAGTAATATATATATGTGTTATATATGTATAACATATATATATATATGTTTTTAAATTGTGGATTGACAGGAGGGGGGATATTCAGAAAAGAAAATAATAGGGGGTGCCTGAGTGGCTCAATTGGTTAAGCATCTGACTTCGGCCCAGGTCATGATCTCATGGTTCATGGGTCCGAGCCCGGCATTGTGCTCTCTGCTGTCAGTGTAGAACAGTTAGGATCCTCTGTTCCCCCCCACCCCACCCCCGCCTCTTCCCCTCCCCGACCTGTGTGCACAAACTCTCTCAAAAAATAAATAAACCTTCAAAGAAAAAAATAGTGCTGGTGCCATCAGGGAAAACTTGAGTTAGGCATCTGGACTGGAGCCTAACTTTAAAGAATTGGAAGAACGTGGTTAAAAAGAAAGAAGGCAGGATCAGCAGATCATAACACATCAGTTACCACAGACCAGCTAGAATTGAGTGAACCTGTTGGGCTCACTGTTACATCTCTCATATTATTGGGCCTTTCTTTTCCCTTTCTAGAGCCCCTGGCTGCTGAATTCCCAGTGGAGATTTCACATCTGCTTGTCATATAAACTTCAGCTCTGGTCTAGTGAGGATTAAAGTCTCCCTGAGATCCTGACTGAGCAGCCTTTCTCCCACTTTATTTGACACCGCACTATATCACGGCAGTGCTGGCTCCTTCCCCACGCACCGTGTGTAGTAAATCCTCTGCACGCCACAAGGTCAGCCGAGTATTAGATGCAGAGTCCTGTCAGAGGTGCTGACAGCTCCATCTTTCTGAGGGTAAGGGAGTGCTGGGTCCTGAAATTCGGTTGCAGTCCTGGCCCAAGAGTCAAAAAAATGCTTTCATCTTGAAAGATGTGATGATTATTATGGGCCATGTTTCTCTGATCCTTAAATCTCTTTTCAGACATGCATCTTGTGTTGTCACTTCTTCAAGTTTTTGGAAGTGCTGGGAAGGAGAAGCTGTAATTGAAATGGGCAGACGTGGCAGGAGAAAAGTAAGTCCAGAAAGTCTCACCGAGTTACAATATATTTGTTAAGTAGCCCCTAGTTACATCATTCTTGGTCTTCCTTTAGCCCAAGATAGGAGCTTTGTTTTAGGAGTACCCATTTTTTGGGGCACCTGGGTGGCTCAGTCGCTTGCTTACATTCGACTCGGCTCAGGTCATTATCTCAAGGTTTGTGAGTTCGAGTCCCACATCTGGTTCTGTGCTAACAATGTGGAGCCTGCTTAGGATTCTTTGTCTCTCTCCCTGTCTCTCTGCCCTTGCCCTGCTCATGCTCGTGTGCAATCTCTCTGTCTCCCAAAATGAATAAATAAATACATTGATTAATTAATTAAAAAGAATACCCATCATATATAATGATGCCTTTAAGGTCATTTTCTCACTCTCTGTCTTAATTTTCCTTTGCCAATTAATGATTTCACTACTTCCATATAACAAGTTATATTACAATCCAGAAAAACAAAACTATGAAGTGTGTTCTGGGTAAAATGTTATGGTTAAAGTTCTTTCTAAGTATCTTCTTTCCCTGAAATCTATCAAAGTAAATTTTAAAATATAGTCTTCAGAAATAGTCGCTAGAATGTCCCAGGAACAACCAAATAAGGAAAAGAGGACAATGCCACTTCAAAAAGGAACGGCCAAGGAAGGAGACAGAAGATTCTCACGACTCAGGTTGCTATTAATAGACTACCTTTAGCCACCAAAGCTGAGGTCAGGTGTGGGAAAAGGATAATGCCACCTGGAGAATGGGTGGGCTGAAGAGACTTAGTAGGGAGACAGAAAAATGTGAAAGTAAAAAACCCACAAGAGGAAAAGCAATGAACTATTACCGTTGGATCTCAGACAGGGCTAGCTTCATGGACAAGCCACCTGTGCATATTCTCAGACAGATCCCAGGCTGGATTTAATATTCTCCTATCACAGGCCTGAAATTCTTAACAATTTTTGAATAAGGGAGTCTGTATTTCCACTTCGCACTGTGTGCTACAATTTATGTAGCCAGCCTTGATTTGTGGCAGAAAAAAATCCACATCTGGTCTCACGAGTTGGCAGAAAAATTCTGAATGGGGCACTAGCCATTCTGACCACATATTAGAATCACCTGGGTGGGTGGGTGGGGGGTGCTTTTTTAAAATTTCAATGCCCAGGTCATGTGTCAGACCAATTAAATACGAGTTTTGGTAGAGGTGAGGGTAGAGATAGTAGGGTGAATTGGGACAAAGCATCGGTATTTACAAAAGCTCCCCAAGGATTACAGTGGGCAACCAAGAATAATAACCAGTAAAGGGAAGAGTAATGAGAACGTGCAAACCTGGAACCAGGACCAGCATGCTGAAGTCCAAGTGAGGGGTGAAAACTCACGTGGGGATTAATACTGATGCGTTACCATTCTCTGGTTTTCTGTTTCATCTAGAAATTATTGCTACTAAGAAGAGGGTGAGAGAGACATGAATGATTAGATTATATTCTTGGGCAGAGCTTTATCGTAAGAGGTCTACTCTGGTTTAGAGGAAAGATATACCATCTGACATCTACCGCTAGTGTATAGGAAGGACCCCAGTACAGGACATTTAAATTTCAGTCAAGGGAGCAGAACCTGAGCTTTTCTATCATTTGGCTATAGTAGAGATTTGTTGAAAATACCCAGATATCAAACTCCAGCTCGTAGGGAAACAGATTCCCAGTAAACTGCTGGTCTAATTATAAATCAGCTGTTTATAGTGGTGAAACTGGAAATGGGTATTTCTCCCCTTAAATAAATGGACCTGTACACTGTGATACAGATATATAAATTATGAATTAAATTAGTTTTAATGCTCCTTCAATGATAGGGTCGGGAAGGAAGCAGTTTCTAGTCAAGTTAGGTCTCTAGGGTTACAGATTCCCAACATTCCAGGGAAGGCAGAACAACTATGAAAGTATAGAAAATGGGGGATGGTATTCTAAAATCCTTTAAGTCATTGAGGAAATGGATGGGACCAACAGAGTTCACTTATGACTGTTACTGAGTGTGGCTAGGCATTCTGGGATCAGACAGTCTTGGCCTTGGTATCTGATCAGACCTGGTGAAATATCAAACTAAAATAAGTCAGTCTCACACTTGGAACATACTATTGGTGTTTTAAATAAATTGCTAGGAATATTATCAAGTTGCTTCAATCACTTTTAAGCCCTTAATTTCTTTGAATCAGTTTAATGACTAAAGAAACAAATTCTTAGTAGAAATGCATGGAGACTTCTATTTCCTCCAAATATAGTACAACCAGCATGGACCTACATTTTTTCTTGCATGGCCCCCATTTTGGAGATGGTACTGAAGGCTTAAGGAGGCTGATGGGTAGTTTAACAACTAGTTTTAACAACAAATAGTTTAACAACTATTAGAAAGATGAGAAACACCAAGGGTGAGAAATACAAGATGGTAACAGTTTGTCTATTAAAATAACATCCATGGTGGAATAGGGAAAAACACTGCAGATGTGAGTATGGGTTGAGGAGAGGTTTTTAAGTAGTCTCTGGTCTTCGTGTCGACTTTTGTATATTAGCACCACAATATTTCCTTCTGAAAGTAGAAAACAAACAAACAAAAAATCTAGCTCTGGGCTAGCCAGACTAGTAGGGTAGTATCAGAATTATTCTCAGATGCCCCAGTTGAGGGGAGGGACTAAATAACAACACAGCACAAAGGATGATGATTACCCTGTGGAAAAAGAAGTGTCAATACTCTCTGCCCTGAGAAACAATGCATTTCTATCCTCCAAACATGGATACTGGGACTTGGCCATGGATCTCTCCACACAGATTCAAATCATAGGCTAATGAGCCAGTTTCTCCAGGAAAAAAATGAACTCAGAAAACATTAAAAGACATTTTTGCGGAGCAACCATTAGTGAAAAAAAGACAAGAAAACACACCCTTTTAATCAGCTAAATTTGATTTACGGGAAGAGGCAAAATAAATATGGGGAATGATAACAGAAACATGAATCAAGGTAAGACATTAAAAGTATTGATTGGAAATACTGAGTCTGAAAAATAATATAGTTGATGAAAAAAACAACTCCACAGAGAAGTTGAATTGCAGAATGGATATGACCCAGGAACACATATGTGAACTAAGAGAAAAGGTAAAATAACTCTGCCATAGCAAATACAGTGCCTCAGGATCAGGGTGGGATTTATTCTAAAAATATAGGTGTTATTCAATATTAAAAAGCATAATAGTAAAATTCACCGTATTATGTCCAAAGATAAATCCCACATGATAAATCTCCATAGATGCTGAAAAAGTGTGTCATAAAATTTAGCATCTTTTTGATTTTCAAATGATTAAATAAAAATTAAAATTGGTTAATATTTCCTTAACATGATAAACTATTTATCTTGAGTTAAAATCCAACAATTTAGGGAGAAAAATGAAATACTCCTCCTATGATAAAAAATACAAAAATGTTCACTATTATCTTTACTACTTACATTTTATTTGAAGTATTAACTAATACAATTAGCCAAGTTAAATATGTTAGAAAAGCAAGAATTGTGGGCTAAGCTATACATAAAATTAACATATATATCAATCATCTTCACATGTAAAAGCATCTCTCTGGACAATATATTGAAGAGTATACCCCATTTAAAATGACAAAGTAAAATAAAATACCTTTAAATAGTCTTAACTAGAGTTAGTTAGGTGAGAAAAATTATAATTGTTCTGAAGGAACCAAAAATCAAAAGGAGACTTGAAAAAATGACAATGCTTTCAGTATTTGGGGATATGTAGATTTAACATCAAAAAGATATCAATTATCTCTAACTTTATTTATAAATGTAACACCAACCTGATAAATACACCAAATGAGTTCTTTGATTTTTCTCTCTAGCACTATTGCAGCTCAGGGGACACTGGGTAGGAGAGAAAGCAGTGTCCACTTGAGAGGCCGTGGAAGAAGCAATGTCATCAAGGTGATGGACGCAGAGCACACGAAGAGGGAGTTGGGGACACATAGTGAGGTGGTGTCAATGGGGCACTCCAGAAGGCTCACTGAAGGGGATTTTAGGAAATAAAGAAGCTGCAAATAGCAGTATGAGGATGCTGAATGGTATGTTGTAGAGAGAGATTTTTGACAATAGAAAAGTATTTGGGGTCTAATTTTCTCCTGGAGATATGCTAATATCCCTCCAAAGTTGAGGTTATTCTAGACATAACAGTGATTGTCAAGAAGGAGGTGGAGTAGGAGGAACTGTCCATCACTTATCCCAAGCATGTATGGTGGCTTACCTGCATCAATTTGGAGTGCTATGTGATCAAGGGCAATCACTTTAAAAGTCCTCTGAGTGGGCACTTGTCACAGAGCCGCTGAGCTCTTAGTGATACTACTGATGAGAACGGGGAAGCTACAAAGGTGAAACATCATCTTGAGGTAAAATAATACTTCATGAGAATAAAAGAAAAGTTGGTATTTGTTGTGGCAGTGTTCACCTTTACCTAATCTCTGTACTCCTGGAAAATAGCAATGATAAGGAAACTCCCTCCTTTTTTGTATTCCAGGCAACAGCTCAATGCAAAGAACCACCCTTCTCTGTATGACATAGATGACTCTTGGGATGTTCCCCTAGATTCCCCGTGACAAACCTAGCCACAAAGATTCTAAATCCCCACTCTTTGTTTAGTGAACGATTACCTGCCCTGCTTATTCTCACTGGTCAATCTGAGCATGTGACCACTAAAATTTAGTTAGACTTTTCTCCTCCCCTCTAAACTCTGACTTGTTCCTGAGGTTCTTCCAAGCACTGGATCATGAAACATCTCTTCTTTATGGTCTCTCCTGAGAATTAGGACCAAAAATAACACACACACACACACACACACACACATACACACACGCATTCTCCTTGCTCAACTGTCTGATCATGTCACCTGTTCATCACCACCCCCCACCTCATTCCTCATAGCCTTGTTTGCTCCTCCCTGAAAATGTCCTTTCTGTCTGATCTTCAAGACTTTTAGAGAGCAGATGGTGAGAGCATTCTCTAAGTGCAAGAGTCATCCTTCATGACATTTTCCTTACTAATGTCTGGACTTGGATGTTTTCTTTGACACTTTATAAATCTTGTTTTGTTTTGCTCATTGACATCTGTGGTGGTGCTTATTCACCTCAAGTGGAATCTGATGGGTGACCAAGACCATGAGAGAACTGCAGATCCACACATGAGGCTTACCTGAAGGGTGATGGGAGGTAACAACTGACAGTGGAAGTAATCAGGTAGTTGAGAATTTCAGAAGAGTTTGCAAGGAGAGCAGAATAGACTTTGGACTAGAACCCTTAAGCATATTAGATATTTGAGCAAAACCAAGAAATCTTAGTACCCTTAATTTTCAAACATTACAGGTGTGGGGGCATCAGCCCTCTTGTAGTGGAAAGCTCAGGTACAACTTTTGAGTCTCCCCTCCCCCAAAAGAAACTTAACTACTAATAGCCTAGTATTGACTGGAAGCCTTACCGATGACATGAACAGTCAATTAACACATATTTTATATGTTGCACATATTCTGTATTGTATTCTTACAATAAAGTGAGCTAGATAAAAGTAAATGTTAATAAGAAAACTATAAGGAAGAGAAAAAATACATTTACAGTACTGTTATATTTACAAAAAGATCTCTGTATGAGTGAATCTGTACAATTCAAACTCATGTTCAAGTATATAGTGAAAGCAATAAACTAAATCTTTCCTTTTCTCTTCATCCTCTTCTTCCTTCCTGACCTCCCTGCCTTCTCCTCTTTCTCCTTCCGATTAACTCCATGAATAACTAGGCTTAATATAAAGAAATCCTTGAGAAGCACTATGATACAGTGTAAAGAGCACTAGAAATTAAGGAATTTGGAATCTTCTCCTATTTTAACAATAAATATTACTTTGACACTGAAAGTAATTTTATTTATTCATCTGTTAAATAAAAGGAGTGGAAAAAAATAAAAGGAGTGAATTTGATATTGTTCACAGAAACATCTGAAATGAAGTCGAGAATACCAAGAGGCCATAAAACGGAGCCAGAAGACCCCTGGGAAGGTTAGTCTTAGGCTCTTCCATACTTGGATGGAATATGAACTTTTAGAATGTGCCAACCACAAAAGTACATCTTGTTGGAATTCTCAGAATGAGACTTAATTTGCTGTATTTCAACCCAGCATTTAGCATAGTAACCTAGCCTATATGGATCAACCTTAATTATCTTTACCTATCAGTCGTAATTTTTTCAAAATAACTTACACAAGCATATGGTTTTTGCCTTTATAAATTCTGTCTTTCTCCTCCCCTTTGGAACACATTTCAGTTTCCTCCTCAATCTGTATCTCCCCAATTTGAATTCCCAAAGACCCCAAATGAACTTTTGGTTAGCTTTGTCACCTAAATTCTTTTTTCTTCAAGGAGTCATCTGTCTAAACATCTAAAAATCAGAATTCTGCTTTGTCTTCCACAGGATTCAATGACTTTTGTAAAGAATGAAAAGGATGCTAAGAAGCTGCTGTTAGAACTTTAAAAAATGCAATGCAAAATGTTACTGAAGTCATTCAAGAATACTTCAGAAGAAAATTATTCCAAGGCCAAGCAAATTATTATGATTATAATGCAAGTAAAGGATGGTGTGAAGTAATTTATCAATGACAAAAAATGAAAAGAAACCAGACTTTTGACAAAGAAACCAGTAATTTATTTATTTATTTATTTATTTATTTATTTATTTATTATGAAATTTATTGCCAAATTGGTTTCCATACAACACGAAGTGCTCATCCCAACGGGTGCCCTCCTTAATGCCCATCACCCACCCTCCCCTCCCTCTTACCCCCCATCAACCCTCAGTTTATTCTCAGTTTTTAAGAGTCTCTTATGGTTTGGCTCCCTCCCTTTTTTTTTTCCCTTCCCCTCCCCCATGATCTTCTGTTAAATTTCTCAGGATCCACATAAGAGTGAAACCAGATGGAACTGGAAAGTGTTATGCTAAGTGAAATAAATCATACAGAGAAACCAGTAAATAATTTAAAAGAAAAAAAAAATAGCCAAGACTGAACTTGAGCCCAAATCAGTGCACATTCCAAATTCTCCATAAAGCCTTCTGAAAAAGATAGTGTAGTTCCTCCTGAACTCCAGGATATACCTGCTGACCTCAAAATGAAAACATTAAGTGAAATTAAAAAAAAAAGAAAAACAGCCTCATAGCCCTCATGGTAGTAGGGAATGATGCAGAGTAATTATATGAAGAAGAAAAGTTTTACAGTCCTCCATGTCTGAGGATGGTGATATGTTAGTAGTAATGGCTTCTTCATTGGGAAAGTCATTTTTTATTATCAAAGAAGAGAGTGGTTACCCTTCTTCAATTAAGGAGCAAAAAGGCCCCAAGAAGTGTTACCTGAAAAAGATACCCTTGAAACCTATTGGGTTATAAGAAATGGCAACAACTCTTCATGTCAGGAGGTTTGAATCCATGCTTTCCCATTCTTTCTCTGGATCCAGAAGCTCTAGGAAAAATGACAGTGAACAACTGTTTCTGAAAAGCAAACTGCACTTTTTCTTCAAAATGAACCTTAGATCAAGAATCTGTTTCTTTAAGATCATAAAGCAGTTATAGCTCCCCCTTCCTTGTTTATGGGAAGCAAGCAAGAGGTGGAAGGAATAGCCATTCAACATTGTTGTGTTAGGGGAAGAATGTGCATGTGATGATTGATTAGTGAACTCTTTGTGAACATTTCTGTCTAAAATTACTTTTCTTTCTCTTTTTTTTTTTTCACTAGTCTGTTATTTAAATGTATATTTGACTGTCTTTGGGCTGGTTATAAAAATGTTTGTTTTAGTCTCTGTTTTTTCCTTTTAAAGTGTATTCAGGTTATGTTTACATAAGGCTTTCACAAACCAAGTATATATTTAAATTCATTTGTAATATGCTGCAGAATATTTCCTCTATGAAATAATTTGGAGTTTATAATTATCTTATGTTTCTCATCTGTGCTTATCATGAAATGCATTTCACTGGATCAGCTCTGTTTTTGCTTGGAAATAAATGTCAAGATATATTTAAAATGATAATAGAATATTATGAGGAAATTGTAGCAATTAAAAATAGATCACCTTTATTAAAAGTTGTTATTGTTAGCAAAACCTTGCTACACTTCTATTATGGATGTACAGATAATAAATTGTACAAACTAAAGTACTTTTTAATCATAGTTTAAAAAATAAATAAAATAGATCCCCCAAGAAATCTCAAATGTTGGCATCAGGCAGTTAGCCCTTATGCCTCTGTTAAAAGATTTATGTTTGCAAACCATCTGTTGGTTAGTAACTACTTTCTCCTGGGGTGATTCAGTTAGTTTATTAAAAACTTGTAGAACCTTACTTTTTCCTGTTATGCAAACTCCCATAAAGGAACTTAACTACAGGTAATTTGACAAAACGAAATGTTAAATATCCTTTTATCACCATAGGAAGAAATGTTTTTATCACCACAGGTAGTAAAAGACAGCCATTGCCAGACAACGTATAACTTTTTGCATCTAATCTGTCAGAGCACCCATTTTAAAGTGCATTTAAATGATAATGGAAACATATTCATCAAAGCACAGTGCCAATTTTCAAGAGAATTTTAGAAAAGCAGTACTTTCATCAGATTGTCAAAAGCAAATGAGAATTGCCATTTTGGACTAATAAAGGAGAACAGAGAGGGGAAATTGACTTAAATGACTAGCATCATTAAAATTAAGTAGGATGTGAAAATATTTAAACAGAATAAGTGCTGAAAGTAAATTAGCTATTTCAAATGTCTTCAGTTTGCATTTGCCTGATTTTCAGTGCTAAACCTGACATTTTGACTTAGATTTGTAATTCTGTATACCCATCTTATATGAAAACACTCAGCATACAGTCAACTCTTGACGCATATTTATTGAGTGTTAGCAATCATCCAAGAAGTATATTAAAATTTTTATCACTGGGGTGCCTGGGTGGTTCAGTCGGTTGAGCGCCCCCCAACTCTTGACTTTGGTCATGATCTCAGGGTTTGTGAGTTCAAGCCCCACAGTGGGCTCTATGCTGACAGCCTGCTTGGAATTCTGTTTCCCTCTCTCTCTGCCCCTTCTCTGCTTGCTGTCTGTCTCTCTCTCGAAATAAATATAACCTTAAAAAAAAAAAGACTTTGATCACTTAATCTTCATATCAATAAGATTGGCACCATATTTTCTTAATTTTTTTTTCAATGTTGATTTATTTTTGAGAGACAGCATGAGCAGAGAAGGGGCAGAGAGAGAGAGAGGGAGACACAGAATTCAAAGCAGGCTCCAGGCTCTGAGCTGTCAGCACAGAGCCCGACGCGGGGCTTGAACTTATGCTCTTAAACTGCTCTGCCTTACAGTCATAGTCATAAGTCTGATTCAAGCGAGGTCGTTACAGGAATTAACCTCGCTCATCCCATTTCCTTCAAGCTACACATTCACTATGGCGTAATGGCAGAACTGAAAAGAGAAAATTGGAGGCAGGGTAGGGATATCAGCCCTCTCTCACATTCGTCTTGCTTACTCTATCCTCTGATGTTCGTTCCACCTTGCACCAGTTGTCAGAGGCAAAGGCGTTCAAATAGATAAAAATTGAAGAGGCTAACTCACATCCTTCTTTTCGCTTTCTCTTTTTCTTCCTTGTACTTACCCTCACACTTCTTTTTGGATAGCTTTGCATCGGTAGGAAGACTTGTTAACAGTAGGGTGTGACATTTATTATTTAAGCTTCCTTCCTCTTGAGAGCTGGTGTGAAGCAAGTGCTCTTCTAGTCAGTGTCTTTGACCTCTACAAAAATCTGCTTTTTGGGCGTGTTAAAAAGATAAGCATTGTTAAAACTCCTGTGGCTGGTTCATTAAGTCACAATTTCCACTGATCTATTAACCTGCTAAGTAATGGCTGTAGTAAGCTTACAGTGTATTAAGAGCAGCATTCAAAACAAAATACAGCCTCTCCTAGTTTAAGGAAAAACTAATTTCATTTCATGTTAATTTAGCAGAAAGACTTTTTCCATACTCACAAAGTTCTATGACCAAGCAGATTGCTTAACTGTCTGAAGCATTCTTAACCTTTCTCTTTATATATCATGAGTCCGATCCATTCTTTTGTGAGAAGAATTATGGATGTAAATGAGTTTTAAAGTTAAAATATTCTCTGTTGGAAAAGATACGTTTTATTAGAGGAAACATTGTTTTGCCTGCTAATTTAAGTCAGGTAATTAAAGCCAGAGAAAACCACAATGCGCTTCTGATTATCTGAATTTATTCATTATTATTCACTTATAGATTTATTATTTTTTTGCAATAAATCTAAAAGGTCTAACTGTTCCTGATATTAGCGTTAGAGCAATTAAGAAGGTAGGTCACAGGGGCGCCTGGGTGGCTTAGTTAAGCATCTGACTTCGGCTCAGGTCGTGATCTCACAGCTTGTGAGTTTGAGCCCCATGTCAGGCTCTGTGCTGACAGCTCAGAGCCTGGAGACTGCTTCAGATTCTGTGTCTCCCTCTCTGGCCCTCTTCTGCTGGCGCTCTGTCTCTGTTTCTCAAAAATAAATAAATGTTTAAAAAAATAATAAAAAAGAAAAGCTAGATCATAGTTCCAGCTCTTAGAGGGTTTACATTTTGCTGGATAATTTCTTGAGGATATATTTTCCCATTAAAAGTTCAGTAGGAGTTAATTTAGCCTTGACTCACCCAACTCTGTATAATTCTGGCTGTCCATTTAAAAGAATTTGTGCCATGGCCTGAATTACTATTAAATGTTACAGGGCCTATGTAAACAAACAAACAAACAAACATTGTTGACCTGTGAGACTGTCTTCAGGACAGGTACATCATGGGGTTGCCAGTTACATAATTATATGCATTTCACTCTCACTGGATCAGGTACCAGATTAAGTAGATTAACAATGTTACTGAATGTGTTTGCTGTTCCTTTGTTGATTATTTTTTGTTGAAATCTTCCATAATTGTTATCCATTATCACACAAATTCTGTCTTGTATTTATAAGAGCACAGTCACATAAAAGTGTTTTTTTAGGAGTATTATATTCCTTTAAAACTTGGAAACTTTGAGTGATATTGTTATTAAGCAAAAGTACTTTGAAAAGAGGAAGTACTCAGAGAAAGGAATGCTAAAGGAATTATCCAGTTTGCAAACTTTTTTTCCCCAGATTTACATTTTCTTTAACTTCTAGGGTGAGCTTAGTATAAGTAATACATATTAAAATGGGACCTCAAAAGTTCTTAAAAATTATGTTTTAAAATTATTCAAAATTACTCAAATGTAACCATTTTCCACATTTGTTGGATATCAAACTAGTTGAATACCCTCATTTATACCTGTATACAAGTAGATCAGTAGATGGATGGATACATAAATGAATGGATGGATGGATGGAAAGAGGAACAGAAGTTATTTTGCAGAAAACGAATTGTACTATAGTTATTAAAATATTAAATTAGGTATACCTGAACTTATCAAAAATGAAATACGCATGAAGCTAACAATGTTGATCTGTAAATGTTTCATAAACACAAATGTAGTAATATTTAAAATACCCCTATGACTAAGAATAAAGACTTTAAAAATGTTGAGATAGGTATGAATTTAAGTTTCACTCTTAGATAGTATCCATTTAATCCTGCCATTAAAG